GAACTTATTATTGTACACAAAGTCAAAAGACTAATGACAATTAAACACAAGAGACTAGTAATGGTCTCGACCACCAGGATTTAACTAATGATGAATCAAGGTGAAGTAAGAGAGCAAGAACTTCAAAATTCTTCGGTCCAGATTTTCTAACATACCTGTTAGAAAATGAACCTCAAAGCTTTAAGAAAGCAATGACGGGTCCTGAAGCACCTTTTTGGAAATTGGTTGTTAATAATGAAATTGAATCCATTATACAAAATCATACTTGGGAATTGGTGGATCTTCTACCTGGTTCTAAACCTCTTGGATATAAATAGATATTCAAGAGAAAATTGAAAGCAGATGGTTCAATAGACAAGTATAAAGCAAGACTTGTGGTAAAAGGTTACAGATAAAAGGAAGGTCTGGACTATTTTGACACATATTTTCCTGTGACAAGAATAACATCCATTCGCATGCTTATTGCTATTGCAGTATTGTATAATTTAGAAATACATCGAATAGATGTTAAGACAGCTTTCTTAAATGGCGATCTAAATGAAGTGATCTATATGGAGCAACCTGAAGGGGTTGTAGTGCCAGGGCAGGAAAAGAAAGTTTGTCGGCTTGTAAAATCTCTTCATGGATTAAAACAAGCACCTAAGCAATGGTATGAAAAATTTGATCATGCTATGCTTACTAATGAGTTTAAGATAAACGAATGTGACAATTGCATCTATGTTAAAAACACTAACCAAAGATATGTCATAGTTTGTTTTTATGTGGATGACATGCTTATCATTGGAAGTAGTCAAAACATGATCAAATCAACTAAGCAAATGCCGAATAAAAGATTTGATATGAAAGATATGGGGGTCGCAGATGTAATATTAGGAATGAAAATTATTAAAACATCTGACAGATATGCATTATCTCAATCACATTATATTGAAATCTTTTTTGATAAATTTATGAAGAATGATATGAATATAGCTAGAACACCTGTAGACATCAGTCGTTATTTATCAAAAATAAAGATGATATGGTGTCTTAGTTAAAATACTCCCAAATCATTGGAAGCCTAATGTACCTAATGAATTGCACTTGTCCTGATATAGCTTATGCTGTCAATAAATTGAGTAGGTACACTAATAATCCCAAAGAAGACCATTGGAAAGCGATCATTCGGGTTCTTAGATATCTGAGATTTACCCGTGATCATGATTTGAACTTTACTCGATATCCAGCAGTATTCGAAGGTTATTGTGATGCCAATTGAATATCGGATACTAAAGATTCAAAATCCACTAGTGGATATATCTTTACTCTGGGAGGCGTTGCTGTTTCTTGAAAATCCATGAAACAAACATGCATCGCACAGTCCATAATGGAATCTGAGTTCATTGCTTTAAACAAAGCAGAAGAAGAAATAGAATAGCCTTGTCACTTTTTAGAAGACATTCCAATGTGGCGAAAACCTGTGCCAGCTATCTACATTCATTGTGATAGTTAATCTGCAATAGGCAGGGCACATAATCATATGTATAATGGTAAGTAACGACATATTCGTCGTTGACATAGTATCGTAAGGCAATTGCTTTCAAATGGAATAATCTCAATAGATTATATAAAATCTAAAAAGAATATTGCGGATCCGGTAACAAAATGTTTGACAAAAGAGCAAGTGTATAGTTTATCGAAGGGGATGAGATTAAAGCCTATTACATAAAAGTCATCATAATGGTAACCCTAGTTATATGACTGGAGATCCCAATAACTAAGTTCAAAGGGACAACTAAGTTATATGTGGCTCACAAGAAATCGTCAAGGGATTTAAAATTCTCTACTCATTCCTATGGTGAGAGTGATAGCTGCAACATATGTTGTCTACAAGAGTTTAAGGATAAGCTTAGCTTTTAATGATTACTTGTACATTGATTTAGGCATAAAATCAAGACGAGTATAAGAGATACTCACAATAAGAATTATTTATATGAGTGTTGAACTGGGCCCGGTTCTATGAGAATGAAGAGGCTAAATTCTCTAGAAGCACTCATGAACAACCAAGAATGTTCAAGCCAAAATGAACACAACCGTGAGAACCAAGATATGTCAGAAGATATTTTGTGTGAAATTTATTGTCTTGGCTTACACAAACGGCTGAACAATTCAAGGCATCGCATCCAGTGGTTAGCTAGTAAGTCCGATAGGTTATCACTAGGGAAGGTTCAATGCCGAAAGCTACCTATCCTGATGTAAGATATTTTCGATTTGCACTCTTTTAACAAATTCTGCATATTGTTGAATTTCCGTTATCATTAAATTTCATTCATGTGGGGGATTGTTAGAAATGGTTTTGGAAAATATGATTTTTCCTTAACTTTGGTCTATTTTTTAGGTGAGACCCATACGCCAAGATTGGCGGGTCTAAGTGGTAACACGTTCTACGTTGCGTTGTGATTCGCATAGTATATTTGGTTGCTCAAAACCATTATTGTGTGAATGGGAAATTGAAGCCAAAGTAAGCTAGATGGAAATGGAATTTTGGTGGAAATTTCTTAGAGGTGTGGTTTAAGGTTTGTCCCACATTAGTTTGGTGGAAAGAATTTTGTGGGTTTATAAGGCATGGGTTTGTAACTTGGGGAGGGCTCCAAGGAGCATCCCAAGTTTGTAGAAAGGAGAGATTATAGGCAAATTGGGCTAGACCCGTTGGACCCAAAAGTAAACACACACGCGCGCCGCCGCCGCTTATGTCCGTCCGATTAGGCGGACGGGCTGGGCGCGGGTGTGTGGTGTGATGTTGGGTTGGGCTTGTCCAGTCTAATACTAATTATTTTTTGGGCCAAAAATATTTGAAATTAATTTTATTTTTTGAAATAAAATCTGTCCAGTTTTTTCCAACTGAACAAATTCAATATTTGTTTAAATTTAAACCCAACAGGTTCCAATTTGTTTGAATTAAAACCGGACAGATTCAATATCTGTTTAAAATTCAAACCAAACAGTGCCTTAACCGATCAATCTGTCCCGAACAGATTCAATACCTATTCAAACAGGTTTTGTACTTGTTAAATTTAAACCGAACAACCACCACTCTATTTATAAATAAGCAGTCCTTTATTTAGATTTTTTACTTCAATTTCGTCCAAAAATCTGTCTGCTCTCTTTATATTTTGCTGCATTATTTTCCTTGTGAGAAAGAGTGTAAACACTTAGTGTGTTTGTTGTGTGAATAGTATGTAGTGCTGCTACTATTCACTGTTGATCATTTTATCCTGGGAGATAGACGCCCACAATCTGAAAGCACCATGGAGAGGACGAATCTGTCTTGAGGACACAGTGTTAAACACTAGACTTGATCAGAAAATTCGTTCAACAAATTAATTTGGTAAGTAATTAATTTACTTTTCTATTTTATTATTTTTCTTGTTTCAGATTTTGATTTTGTTTTTGTAACAAAATAAAAATATGTTTTATTTATTTATTTTATTTTCTAGTTTGATTTTTGTAATCAAACTATCTCTCTCATTTCTTTTATTTCTTGTGTATTCCGTTTGTTGTTAAGTATACAAACAGAATTAATTTTTAAATATATTGAAGATTGTCCAACATCTGACACTAAAAAGAGTCGGTCGACAAAAAAAAACAGTCAGCCGATCTACTGCAAATTTTTTTTTTACTTGAAGAGTCCGGACGTTCGGGTGGGACGACCAGTCGGACGACCCCACGACACTAACAACTGACACTAACACACAAGTTAACAGCTCCATTGCAGGACAAAACAATGTTTTGAGCTAGGGCTGTGCAAAATACGGCCCAATTCGCTAAAATCACATCGATCTGCATCAATTCGCACTCTTCTAACCGCCAACAACGATTTAAACTTTAAAATTTATAATCCGCCAACCGAACTGCTCCACTCTGCTATAGTTAATACATATATATTTTGTAACCTCCAATGAAATATCAATGTAAAAATGAATGTGAGAGAGATTTAAGATATGAAATTTATTATAAATTAGTAATTATATATATGAAACATATTATGTAAAATTATTTTGTGTTATATATCTAAAAAATATTATGCAAATTAGTGTTATATATTATGCAAATGTATGATAATTAGTTAGAATATTCTTCAATCTGTCAATCTGTCAAAAACCGTCCAAACCGTAATTTGTCAATCCGCTAATCTGCCAAATCGACATTCGATTTGTAATTTTACTCTTAAACCGTCCGAATCACACCGCGTACAACCCTAAACATAACATTTAGCTAGTCCATTGTTGTTGCTCTTAGCATATTGGTTTGTACTATTTTGTAATTTTTATATATTAAACTTTAAAAATTCATATTTTTTGTGGTACACACACACATATATATATTATGAAATTTATATATTTGAAACGGAGTTAATCAGATCTGTAAAATAAGATCTTACTTGAATATGTAATTTTATAAAATAAAAATAAATAAATAAATTTGACAGTGTGAACATTAATGCGTATTTCGCCATATTATTATTAAGAGTGTTTTAGTAATTATGTCACCCATAGAATTTATTGAAATATAAAAAATAATTTAAATTAAATAGAATATAAGAAAGTGAAAAGAGATCTATAAATAAATGCCCTTTTAAAATACTAATTTGTGAATTTATTTTAAATCATTTGTGAGTAGTAAAAGAAGTATGCCGTTTAAAGTTGCCTATTTAAATAAATTTTTAATTTTTTTTGGTATAAAATTTTAAAAAATTGGTATATTTGAAAGTTGAGTGATTTTTTTTTGATAAAAAAATATATATATTTAAATTTTTTAACTTATTTTTAGTCCCAAAAAAATAAAATAAATTTAAACTAAACAAAAATATTCCTAGTTTGGTACTCCCATTCATTGTAACAAAATTAACACGTGATCCATCTCCACGTCTTAAATTGGTGGTACGAAGCATTTTTCGCGTGCGGAAAAGCCTCAAGGAAACAATTTTCAGTCTTTCAAACCCCCTATAAATTCACAAACAACTCTGTACAGAAACCAAACCAATCAAAACAGAACAAAAAAAGCTAGCTATGGAAAACTTGAGCTTCCATGTCTGTGTGTCAATCTTATTAGCAAGCATTGTCATAGTCCCAACCGAGTCCCTGAGGCCCCAGAATAGACCGGCCTTGTTTGTCTTCGGTGACTCGCTCTTTGACTCAGGCAACAATCAGTACATCAATGGCATCAAACCAACGGCGCCCGATTACTACCCATATGGTGAAACTTTCTTCAAACATCCCACCGGCCGAGTCTCCGATGGCCGAGTTGTCCCTGATTTTATTGGTAATCTATTCTCATTTACATCAATTTAGTCCATGTTAGCTTTTCCTTTCACATTGTTGGAATCTTTTACATTGTTTGATTGTTAGAAAAAAAAGAAAAAAAAAGGTGGTACCTACTTTGTCCGGTACTGTGATTGATTTTTTGTGTTCCTAAACTTTTTCATTGTAAAATGCCCATAACCACTAATCATTGAAAATCTTGAGTTGTGTTGTTAATTTTTTTGATAAGTGGGTCTCTGGCCCACTTGACCGACTAATCCACAAACCAATACATGATATGAGTTCTGAGGCCACGCTTGTTTGGATGGACATAAGCTTGGGGTTGGACTAATAGTCTAATAAAATTATTAATACGATATTTGGTTAAACAATTGAAGTACGGACTAATTATTTTAAACTTGACTATTAGTTAAGATAGGATACATAATCCAATGGATTTGTAATCCTAGAACTATTAGTCATGGAATGCTAATCCAGTCCGCCCAAACAAACATGGCCTAAGTGTTTTGAGACAAAGAAATAGGTAGACATGAGTACAGGGGATTTCATTCTGAATATTTTGAGATATTGAACCCAAAATCAATTAACATTAGGTGTAGGGGTCACATGAAGAGGAGTGTTAGCTTGATATAGATCTATTTCTTAACTGTTGAAGTTTTTAAGGAATCTGGTAACTTAAAAGGTTGTGTTTAGATTAAAGATTTGGATAGTGATTTGTAAAGAAAAAGAGAAATTGTGTGTAAAATATAGCCATACTTCATTCACATTTCCCCTACTTATAAATCCATGGCCCAAACATAGCTAAGAATTTTGATTTCAATAAAGTCTTGGGTTTAAATTTTGTCTACTTTCAATTTATTCTCTCTTCTTGTGCACTGATTTGCTTAAGTGATCATTGATGACATAACAGATATTATGAATATGAATCACATTGAGTTATTTATTTATAGCATTGTTTGCAAAGCTACCTATGTTGGGACCATATCTGGAGCCTGGAGAGCACAATTTCACTGATGGGATCAACTTTGCATCAGCCGGTTCAACTGTTCTTGGTGACTTACAGCCTGCAATGCCGGTATGTGCAACTCTCTTCTCCATGGAAAATTTCAATTAACAAATTTGTTTTTTTTATATTTATTTTTATCTTGAATTTTTGGTTTTTTCTCAATTTGATTTAATCAATAATAGGCTTTAAGAAATTACACGGAAAACAGCCACACATGCCTCACGTTGTTTGCGTTTGCGTCTACATATGTAGATCATGTTTTCAGTTGGTCTTGTTATCAGTTATAATGTCAGTGTGGCCTCTCACTAATCCAACTACATAGTTCTTACTATTCTCATATGAAATTCTTCATTAGTTTGTGAATTGAGAGATGGTATTGTTGTTATACTTAATATTTACTTGTCAGTGTGACCTTCTAGTTGTGCCTAGAATTCCATTGTATGGGTTCGTCTCGTGCACCTTTAAACAAGTCATTGATAATCGAAAAACAAAAGTTTAAAATGCCTGTCCTCTTGCCTCTCAATAATCAATTTTTAAAAACTTATTTAAACTATTTCTTCCATATAATCTGTAAGCAGTAGTTTTGTCTCATAATACGAGCTGATTTTTGCTCCATCTCCTTCGTATATATATTCAGATAAATCTACATGAGCAGCTAAATTATTTCAAGAATGTAGAGAAGTGGTTGAAGCAAAAGCTAGGAGATGTAGAGGCCAAGAAATTTCTCATGAGAGCTGTATATTTGTTCAGCATGGGTGGCAATGATTACTTCAGGCTCTACTCCATGAACCCCAATGCCACTCTATCCTATCAGAGACACTACTCACAAATGGTGATTGGCAACTTGACACAAGTCCTCGAAGTATGAAAAATAACAACTCTCATCACTATTTTACCATCATCAAGTTACTCCAACAATGCTATTTATTGTTACTATATTTTTTTAAAAAACAAATAATCAATTAATATCAATTAATGTTTTATGAGAGTGAAAATGAAAGTGTGAATGATTTAAGAATAAAAATTTAATTTGTTAGCGAATAGTGGCTTAACAAAAGTAACCAGTTACCGTACACAAAACTAACTAATAAATTCTAAATTAATTTTGACAGGAAATATATGCCATGGGAGGAAGGAAAATTGCATTTCAGAATGTAGGGCCTTTGGGCTGCACACCGGGAGCAAAACCGCAGAATGCGAATCTTGGTGGCAGCTGTGCTGAATTTCCCATGGCACTAGCACGACGACACAACAGAATGCTGTTGGTTGTCCTCAAGAAATTAGAGAGCCAGTTGCCAGGATTCAAATATTCGATATTTGATTACTACAATGCGCTTCATGACAGAATCATCAACCCATCAAAATACGGTAAGGCTGCAAACCATACTTACCCTTTTGTTTGGTTTCGTTATCAGAATCTGTTTTTTGAAAAATTCAATTTTTTTTTGTTAATTGTGGTTGTCAAGGTTTTAAGGAAGGAGAGGCAGCATGCTGTGGAATTGGAACATATAGGTCAAGTGGGTGTGGAGGAAACAATGGGACAACCGAATATGAGCTATGTAGTAACCCTTTTGAGTATGTGTGGTTTGATTCAGCTCATACCACCGAAGGAGCTAACTGGCAATTGGCAAAACTATTGTGGGGTGGGAGTCCTAAAGTCACAGGGCCATACAATGTGAAACAACTATTTGAATTTCTATGATTGTAAATTTTGTAGCACTCATGTATTCTCTAGAGATCTATGATTAGGTAGTTAAATATGTTGTAATCTTCAGTTCTAATATAATTCCATTTCGTATGTGTTCATATTTATAATTGTCATGAGACCCTTGTGTTGATCTAAATTTTTTTTTTTTGGCATGAGACTCTAGTGTTTGTGGATCCACTCAATTTAAGGGCTGTATGTAATGTGTTTGTAGAAATGCCACAAAGGAATAATTTTCGCTCTTCCACCCAAAACCCCTTTGTAAAATTCACTACCAACTCTGTACACAAACCAGGCCAAAACAAAAAATTGCTAGCTATGGCAACCTTGAGCTTTCATTTCTGTATCTCAATCTTATTTGCAAGTTTTCTCATTATCCCAATTGAGTCCCAAGTCTGACAAGACGGGCATTGTTTGTCTTTAGCAACTCGCTCTTCGACCCAGGCAACGATCAGTACATTAATGGCAGCAAACCAATGGGGCCGAATTACTACCCATATGGTGAAGCTTTCTTCAAACATCGCACTGGCTGAGTTTCTGATGGACAGACGTGTTGTTCCTGATTTTATTGGTAGTTTTTTCTCAGCTATATATCAATTTAGTCCATGTTGCCTTTTCCTTTGACATTGTTGGAGTTTTGGAGGTATGAACTCAAAATCAATTGGCATTAGGTGAAGAGATCTCGTATGAAAGAGAGCGTCAACTCGATAAACATTGTTGAATCTATTTAAGTTTTTGGAAAAAAATTGTTAACTTGGGGTCATTTGATAACACTTTAGTATCTTGATTAAAGGAATTTGGTATATTATTTTAATTTTTTTTTAATTTTTTTGCAGTGTTGTTTTCAAAGCTACCAAGTTGGAACCATATCTGGAGCCAGGAGAGCACAATTTCAGTGACGGGATCAACTTTGCATCAGCAGGTTCAACTGTTCTTGGTTGTGACTCAGCCTTGAATGGCGGTATGTGCAAAACCCCTTTTCTCCATCTTCATTCGCCATAGCAACTCCTCCTCCTGGAATTAGGAAATGTTTGGGTAAATGTCACCAAATAAATTACACCAGTGATCTTTATAGTTTCTTTTGGATTTCATTTTGGTTTCTCTAGTTTTCCATGTGGTTTTTTTCTGTTCAAAAATGTTAATGACGCATGATAGAAGGGCCGCATTGCAGATAAATCTACATGGCTGCTGATTTGTGCTTCCATTTCCTTCAAAAAAAAAAAAAATTCAGATAATCTAAATGGGCGGCTAAATTATTTGAAGAAGGTAGAGAAATGGTTGAAGCAAAAGCTAGGAGATGCAGAGGCAAAGAATTTGATGAAGATAGCTGTCTACTTGTTCAGCATGGGTGGCAATGATTACTTCCAGCTCTCCTCATCCAACCCCATTGCCACTCTATTCTACCAGAGACACTACTTCCAAATGGTGATTGGCAACTTGAAACAAGTTCTCAAAGTATGATCAACAACCTCTCATTATCACTATTGTATATATGTTTGCTACATATTGTTCTTTCTGGAGCATTGGTTTTATTTTTTATGGATGATCTATGCACACTGAGACATAAAAAATTGTTGATCAGATCATTAATATGGGGCTTGTGGTGGGAGAATAGGCCTGAACTGGACTGGCATCTTCCATGGAAAATAGCAGGCCAAGCTTTGTTACCATATTGAAAATAATATATATATATATATTTCTTTTGTCTCAGAATCCATAATAGATATTTAGATGCAATATAAACATTTTCGACACTAAAAACCATTGATAAAACTCAAGATACGTACACCTTGAAGACTGTACAGAGCTCCTGAGAAACACAAATACCTTTTGTAACTTTAACTCATTACTCTTTATTTCTAAATTTCTTCTCCTCTTGTCTACATCCTCAAATGATCATAGTATTACACTTTATCTAGAGGTCTTTGAATAATCATATGATTCTTAAACTTTCAGGACTCGAATACATGAACTCAATCTTTCAATTTAATCTAATTAATAAATTCTAAATTAATTCCAACAGGAAATTTATGAGATGGGAGGAAGGAAAATTGCATTTCAGAAAGCAGGGCCTTTGGGCTGCACACCGGGAGCAAGACTGCAGAATTTCCCTTGGCACTAGGACGACGACACAACAGAATGTTGTCGATTGCCCTCAAGGAAATAGTGCCAGTTGCCAGGATTCAAATATTTGTTATTTGATTACTACAACGTGCTTTGCGACAGAGTTATCAACCCATCAAAATAAGGTTGCGAACCAACCTAACTTTATATTTGGTTTCGTTTTCAGAATTTGTTTTTTGAAATCAAATTTTTTTGTTAATTGTGGTTGTCAAGGTTTCACTGAAGGGAAGGCTTTATGCTGTGGGACTGGAACATATAGGTCAAATGGGTGTGGAGGCAACAATGGGACAACCCAATATGAGCTATGTAGTAACCCTTTTGAGTATGGGTGGTTTGATTCAGCTCACATCACTGAAGGAACAAACTTGCAATTGGCAAAACTATTGTGGAGTGGGAGTCCTATGGTCACAGGGCCATACAATATGAAACAACTATTTGATCTTCTATGATTGTCAATTTTGTAGTCAGTTATTCTACGTGTACAAAATTCGATCACAGAATCAGACACAATCTTGTAAAGAGTTGTGTATGATTATGAGCATTTATGATTGTCATCTCAAGCTTTCTTTTGCTACTAATACATAAACTTGTCATAGAATCTGACAAAAAATTACTTATCAATGGACATTTTGCAAAGTTCGTTAGTAAAAGTTTATTTTTGAAAAATTTTATTCATCCGTATACATTTTTATGTCGAATTTTGTGATCAATCTCTACATTTGAAAATTTATTTCTTCAAAATGGAATGAATCATTTTAAATTAGACACTAATCCTTTAACAATTTTGAAGAGAGTGGATGAATTATTTTGCTTTTGATTTAAATCCAACTTTTAAAGAAGTGTCATCAATTGGTAACACTGAAAATTTTAAGGTTAAAAAATTACAAAAAATAAATCTACTTTTTGTCAAAAACTGGGGCTACAAATGTAATTTGACCTTAAAATTATTATTATTTTTTCTGTAATCATCAAGCCAATAGGCCTTCAGCTTCGATTCAATGATACAATCATTTGAATGGGCAATAATATATTACATCATTTCAACTGTTTGAATCTTATCATTTTTTTTTTAATTTTATTTTAAATTTAGCTGTGTCAAATTTTGAAAAGACTTGAATATCATCCGAGGATTATGTGCATGTTACTGTTCTATTTTACTGTATACAAAAAAAACATGAATTTTTAAATTTTTATTTTACATGATATAGAGAAATTTCATCAAGTTTAATTGGTTGAAACTAGTGGATCCACAGTTAAGAATTATTCAAGATATACAAAAAGAATTCGAATATAAAACCAATCGAATTACTTCAAATTGACCATCTAAAAAAGAAAGACTTCAAATTGAGAAAATGGAGAAATTGATTATCTTAAATTGGTAATCATATGTTTCACTACATAAGTAATATTAGTCAAATTCCTTGGGATACATTTATTTCATGAGTAAATCAAATAGAATCAAATTACTTATTATTATTATAGTTATTTTGTGTAGTATTATAAGCTTGTCAATGATTCGTATTCAAATTGGAGTTGATAATTTAAATCTAAACCTGATTCAATCATGAAAAATTCAATAAGAGATAACTTGTATATGAATCTAGTCTATCCAAGTATCCGAATCGAAAATCCAATCCATCCTATTTATGTAGGTGCTACATGTTTGATTGATCACATCTCACGATCCAAACACAATCTTAGTAGGCAAAGATGTTACTGGAGGCATTGAAATAGATTCTTTAGATTGTAAGGCTTGACAACATTAGGGTTTCCATTCCATATTTGATCAGCCATTTGTTTGTGAACCTTTTCAGTGAGATGGAAAGAGTCCCAAAACACATACTCATTTGGGTTATCACACAGCTCATAGTCCTTCACTGGCCTTTTCCCTCCACAGCTGAATGTTCCCCTGAACCTCCCTGTTCCACAGCATGCTATTTTGCCTTCCTTGAAACCTTTTCAGAAATCAAAACATTTTCATCATTTCAAAAGATTGCGACTTTTATCTTATGTTTGGATCAAAGTTTTGAGTACGAGAATTATAGAGAGAAAGAAAAGGATAAAAATTTAGCTTATATTCTATCTACTTTTTCCACGTAAAAAGCATTCTTAATTTGACCCATAATGATATGAAATTTTATGTGTCAATTTTAATTATATATAACGCTTCAACTTTTTTTTGTCACGTCAATGTTTTTCAAATTTTATGAACAAAAAATACTTGGCATGTTTTCCTGGGTTTAAAAGCTGGGCAAATAAAGGCATGCTTTTTATCAAGTTTTAATAGTCATAAAAAACATAACATTTTTATCTTCAAATTTTCAAGGAAAAAACATATTTTCATCATTTAAAACATTGTTCGTTCAACCAAAAAAAAAAAAAAAATCATTTAAAACATTGCAACTTTTAGTCAACAAAGGCAAGTATAAAACAAATGAATTCAAGTTTTATTTACGTACATGTTGTTTTAATAATTTTTTGATTTTTTAAAAAAAATGTATAAAAAAGTAGAGAGAGTGATGTGATAATTTATAATAACTTTTTGACTAAAATACTAAGCGTCCGTTTGAGAAGTGGGTTGATTTTTTGACTTTTTTTGACTATTTTAGCCTGGGCTAAAAAGTTTGGTTTGAGAATGATTTTTTGACTTTTTAAACTTTTTTTTTGTAAGAGAAGAGTGTAATGATTATGAGTTGGATGTGGGGTATGTTTGGTTTGTGTTTGAGAGATGTGTTTTAGAGATAAAAAGTACGAAAATATGTTTGGTTTGGTTTTTTTTAAAAGATGTTTTAATGTATAAAAAAGTAGAGAGAGTGATGTGATAATTTATAATAACTTTTTTGACTAAAATACTAAGCGTCCGTTTGAGAAGTGGGTTGATTTTTTGACTTTTTTTGACTATTTTAGCCTGGGCTAAAAAGTTTGGTTTGAGAATGATTTTTTGACTTTTTTGACTTTTTTTTTGTAAGAGAAGAGTGTAATGATTATGAGTTGGATGTGATGTTTTGTTTGTTGTAGTTAAAATAGCTTATTTTACCTTTTATGACTAAAATAATTCCAAACCTCCTTGCCAAATGGAGCCTTAATCCCAAACGAGACCAACTGGGTAATGTCTAAAAGGGCAAAAAAAACAAAATTATAAATCTAAAAAGAAATTGATAGGGGAGAGATGGAAAATCAAATCAGGCCCATGATACAAATCCAGTGAGGGTTCTCAAAGCCGAAAAGAAAATGGCAATGGAGAGAGAGAGAGGGAGAGAGAAAAACATGAATTGAGCCAAAATGGATCAAATCGGCAATAAAGGATCGGACTAGAGGGAGAGTTGGATATACAAGTTTATAGGTAAAATGGGTTTGACCCTTGTCTATATAAATCTGCCCCAAACACAACTTATTGATAAATTGGGTGGGTTTAGACTTGACCAATTAGGTGGGTTTAGACTTGCAACCCGATGCAATCTGGCCCAAACATGCCCGTTTGCTAAGTCTAAAACAATACGTGTTAATATTATATAATAACCTATCCTATTATAGTCCGACATGACCCCGTAAATTGTCCCGACATTGATTCCGGTCAGCTTCTACAACGGTCCGACATGACCTCATAAACTGTCTTCTACAACGGTCTGACACGACCACACAGTGTCTGCTACATCGGTCCAGCATGACCTCGTAAACTGTCCTCCTACAACGGTCCGACATGACCCCGTAAACTGTCTTCTACACCGGTCCAACATGACCCCATAAACTGTCTTGCTACAACGGTTCGACACGACCATACAGTGTCTTCACCAACGGTCTGACACGGCCATACAGTGTCTCCTATCCACTTTTATTTGTCAATTTATTTTCTTGTTTTGTTACTCTCTCCAAACTCAAGTTGGTTAGTGTCTATCCTCCTTGAGTTTGAGGGGGCTGTTAATATTATATAATAACCTATCCTATTATAATATGTTAGTGTATAATATTATATAATAGGTTATTATAATATGTTAGCATTATAATAGGTTAGTGATTGCTTGCTTTCATCATTAGTGTTTCTTTTCTGTAAGCCTTTCGGCCACTTTCGGTAAGCTGCTCAATGGCTCCTCCAAATTATGTAATCTCTCCTCTATATAAAGGAGTTAACAACACAGATACCATAAAAAAAAAAATAATAAAAGAGATACACAATTTCGCTCTCTTTCTCTATATAATTATTTTAACAATACGGATGAAAAGAGATTTGAAGGAAAAGTATGTACCATATTTGGAAGGATGATTCATTTTGAGCCTGAGATTGCTGTTGAAGTCATAAAGAGCATATTTGAAACCCTTTAATTGGTTCACTAGTTGTGAGAGAAGTTTTGAGAGTGCTTCATTATGTAAATTAGCAAGTTGTGAAGCTTCTTCTAAGCAGCCACCATTGTCTTCTGGTTTGATTATCCTTATGCCTGGAAGACAACCCAATGGACCCAAATTCAAAAATCCGAATTTTCTCCCGCCTTTTTTATAGACCTCCTGCCAAATTAAACGATATTTGAAGCATAATTACACATCAATAGTCTTTCTATGTGCACAGAATGTAGACAATGGGTGGCACTGGGAGCCTAACTTGGGAGGGCCCAACCTAAGTTGTTCGAATCTGCCTCAAAACTTTTAGAATTTTGGTGGTAGAATTTTAAATTTGATCAAGGACTTGGGCTACGTTTGGTAATTCAAATTAAACATATATATATATTTATAATTTGGATTAGATAATATTGTTATGTAATATTTCTACAACTTGGTACACAACTCAAACTAATTTTCTTATTATATTTTATGTTTATATTTTTTAGATAATATATATATATATATATATTTATTTATTTTTGAAAAGGGAAACATATTACATCAGGACAATAAAAGATTTAGAATTTGGGCAAGCAAGTTTCAGCAAAATTCAGACTGGTGGTGCTAGGACTTGGCCAAATCCCTTTACATTCTAAATTGAGTCTAAACAGATCCTCAGACTGCCTAAACTCGCTTAAATTGTAGATTTAGGTGGATCTATCTATCCCTTATCTCTATTATGTGCATTTTTCTGTATATTGATTATGTAAATTTATGTTATTTTTTGCATCACTAATTCTTGTTTAAATTTAATTCGGACTAATCAAATAAAAAATTATACCACCCAAGTAACATGTAATCATCTCTATCAAAATGAAATACATTACCCACGTAAATCCAAACGAAATAACAGTGGTGAAGCATAGGGGTAAAAAAATAAAAAATAAATAAAAACTTACTTTGATTACCATAGTTAAGTTGCCAATGACCATTCCAACATATTGGGAATTAGAAAAGGAGTTGAGAAAGGTGGAATTGGTTAAGAAAAGGCTGATGTAATCATTGGTTCCAACCCCAAACAAGTAGACAGCACTTGACAATGTCTTCTTGGCCTCCTCATTCCCTAATTTTTGTCTTAACAATCCAACTACCTTATTGTAGTACCTTAATTGTGTGCACAGATTGATTACCTGCAAAATAAAAAAAATAAAAATAAATCATAGAAGTGAATAGATATTCTAGTCGTGTTAATAGTGAGGTTTAAACAACTTCACATCCTTAAAATTTTAAAAAAGGATTTATTGATGAAATGAAGATTTATTCCTACCTTTTTGATAAAGATCTTACTTTTTTGACTTTTATAGTACATAATAAGAAAAAAAATTAAATTTGTCTGGTATCGACTTAAAAGTTAGACCAAAAAAAATTTGAAAGTTTACTTTTTAGTTAGCCATTCAAACATATCTTTTTTTATTTATTTATTTTAAATTTGATTGCCAAACTTTCAATTTTCTAACTACAACTTTTGTGTCGAAAAGTTGTCAGCGAAAGTTTTGATTTCGACTTCTCTAGTGATGAATGACGTGGTTATCGTAATTATGTGATTTGTTGTATCCCTCCCCATCACAATTCTTATTGAATTTTGTTGTATAACCTTTTTTTTTCTTTTCTCTTTTTTTGTTGAATTTTGTTGTATAACTGAATATTTAAGTGTAACTCTCAATTTGTGTATAAAAATTACAAGCAATCAATTCTCAATACTCCACCTCTTTCAATTTTTTTTAATTAATCATAACAAAAATTAATGACAACCTAAAATTAATATGAAAAATATTCTCAAATGAAATAGAGAAATTCTAAACAAATTAAACAAATTAAAACGGACAAATTACACTTTATCACACTCAATTATCACTATTTTTATTTTATTCTTTCAAACTAAAAATTCATAAAGGCTATTTTTTGGCAAATGATATTTTTTGGTTTTTTTTTGGCTAAAATTCACAAAAAAATAAAATAGGTTAAAATAGTCAATAAAATAAAATGTCATATTAAATTCATAATCATTTTTTTTTCTTTCACAAATATCACATCTAACTATAAAAAAATCTAACGATCTTCTCAAATACAAAAATTTTAAGCTACTAAAATAATAACTTCCCAAACCCCACAATATATCCCTTTCATCTTTTGAAAATTTTCAATCAAACCCGTATGTCTCAATTTTGTTAACGAAACGGACGAAAAATGTGCATATAATGTGTAATGTCATATTTATTAACAAAATGAAGACATTTGTATCAAAAGATGAAAGGGATACATTGTATCAATTTTTAGTTTGAGAGGATAAAATTAAATGCTCGTTTGGCTAAGATTTTGGGACTAAAAAAGCACATAAAGATAAAATAAGCTATATAAGTTAATAAGATAAAATATCATTTTTTACCCATAATCATTACACTTTTTCTCTTACAAAATTCAAAAAAGTCCCAAAAAAAAAAACCAAACGAGGCTAAAAAAGTTGGCTATATTAGTCAATGCCAAACAACCACTAAAAATACTGATAGTTGAGGAGATAAAGTGTAATTTGCCAAATTAAAACCCTCAAGTGGATGAAATATTTTTTTTCAAAATTTAGGGCTGGTTTGGCAAGTCTAAAATAATCCAAAAAGTCAAAAAGTTACACAAAAAGTAAAAGAGGCATTGCTATTCACAAATAAAAAATATTAAAAAAATATTTTATATATTTTTATAATACAAATTGACTGAGCAACGCGACAGTCGTACTTGTGATAGAGACCAGACCATTATAAACTTTTTGAGGCAAAAAAAAAAATACATATGTAAAGACATAAAGTTTGATGGTAATGTTGGGCCCTTTAGGGCCCACTAAGGATTCATTTTTGATAATCCCAACCGTTCAATATGTAGAACTCGTCGAGTAATATTTGTTTATAAAAAATCACGTTGATCGGATGTCGTTAACTATATGATCAAATCAGTTTTGTATAAACAAAACGGATGGTGTAATCGTTAACTGTTTAAAAAAACTAATCCGATCATATAGCTATCGATATCCGATCAACGTAATTTTTTATAAATATATAATACTCGACGAGTTGTACATATTGAACGGTTCAGATTATTAAAATGGGACCCATGGTAGCCCCCACGGATCGACCATCACTGTCCAAACACTTTGCCTCGAAGGAGGCAATTATTTTCTGTGTAAGACATGCTGGGGCAGCAGGGCAGCCGTACAACCACTCAACTACATTTTATTTATACAATTTTTTATTACATATTTTTTTGTAAAAAGACAAAAAGTTAATTCAAACATCAATTTTTTTTTTCTCTCAACTTTTTAGTTAAAAAAGACAAAAAGTGCACTTATTTAGGACAGCTCAAACAATCTCGTGCATCACTGACCATTGTATGTAGAGTTGTACAAAATACCATCTAATCTGTTAAAATCATACCAAGCCACACCAATTCGTACCACTTTATCCGCTGAATGCAAATTAAATTTAAAATTTTATAATCCACTTTCGAAACCATTTCGTTTCACTATAGTTAATAGATATATTTTTTTTCTACCTTTAATTAAATATCAAAGTAAAAATAAGTGTGAAAAAGATTTAAGATATAAAATTTGTTATAAATTAATAATTATATACATAAAAAATATTATGTAAAATTAGTTTGTATTATATATTATGCAAATACTTAATAATTATTGAAAAATATGTTTCAATCAACTACTAAATTAAAACAGTCCCAAACCGTTTAAACTGTAATTTGATTATTTGTTAATACGACATCCGTCACACAATTTCTCTATTAAGCTCAAATGATCAAATTGTATTGCATAGACCTAATTATGAGGTGTTTTAGGAAGATAATTAAAAATTATTTTTTAATTTTTTATAATTTTTTTTTATGAGAGAGGGAAGTGATTTTTTTTTTTTTTTTTTTTTTTTTGACTAAACTTTAATGGGCCCACGTACGTACACAAAATGCAATGCGAACTCGTCCAAAGGATGGGAAGGCGTTCTTTTCGGGAGCAAGGATTTCTCCTTGGTTTTTTTTGGGGAATAAGGTACTAATGTGCCTCAATTTAAGATATATTATGAATTTATTTTTATGATCCGAATCGTTTATTTTGTAGGATTTGTTGAGTATTCATACCTAGCAAAAAATCATATTAATTGTATTTTGTAGGATTTGTTGAGTATTCATACCTAGCAAAAAATCATATTAATTGGGCATAAATAACTCTATGATCGAATTGCATATTTTTTATGTTATTTCTCAAAAGAAAAACTTATTTAGGTCAAGTTTGGAAAGACTAAATAAGTGTACTTTTTAACTTTTATTGTATTATGTGTAGAAAAAGTAGAGAGGAGATGTTGATTGATGTGACTCACAAAAGATAAAAAGATGAAATAAGTGCACTTATTTTGTTTAGCCAAACTTGGCCTTATTATTTTTTTTGGTTATCAATCATATAGTTATTGATATCCGATTAAATGATTTTTGTTAGACATGAAATACTCAACAATCTCTACAAAATGTACGGTTCAGATCATAAAAATAAGTCCATAATACATCTCAAATCGAGACACAACAATCACTTCTGTGCTAGGCACAGCAATGATCCCATTTCACTTTTTTTTGTTTGATCCTATCCTTACAACAGTTAAAATTCATTTTAAGAAAATTTAATAACTTAGATTACTTTATTAAAAATAATTAAAAAGTAAAAAATAATTTTTAATTCTTTTTAACAAAATAATTTAGATTATTAAATTCCCTTAAAATGAATTTTGATAGGGAAACTAGTAAAAATACCAAATAGAGAGAATCCTTACTCTCTTTTCGGGGCATCAGGTCCGTAAATTATGTTCTGTAAGTGGGGCCCAAAACGATACTTGGTTTGATCCAACCCATATAAAAAAAAATTGTGTATTGGAATTGAGCCTAACTTTCCATTACTGTCAAATCAAATTCACTCTTTGGTCTAAGTTTTTAAAATTTACTTTTTAAAAAATTTTACTTTTTTGTTTTTTATATATTTTTATTTTTACTTAATTTTTTTTAATATTTTAAACAATTTTTTTTTTAAATTTTTTTTTAAACACACCTCACATAAATTCACTTAAAAAGTATAATATTTGTAATTTTTTTAAAAATTTATTAAATACCAAAAACATAATATATATATATATATATATATATATGAAAATTCAAAAAAAGATTTACAATTTTATCATGTGGCATACTCAAAATTTATCATGTGTCTTTCTATTTATTTTGTTTTAATATTTACTAAAAACAAAAACAAAAACGAAAAACATAAAAATCAATTTCTAAAAAACTGAATTTAGAAAAGTGAAACCCAACACACTAATTGATTTCTTGTCTTGTTTATTTGGTTGATCTCATCAAGAAGTTTGATTCACTTTATATTATGTTGGGAATATGAATTTAAGTTGAAATTATCAATATATATATATATATAAGTAAAATATGAATAAAATATAACCATATTTTATTTATATATATATTTTTTTCAAATCTCTATCTAAATTCATGATATAAATACAGCTTTAGAGAAAATTAAAAATTAATAAGTCCATACAGTTTCTTAAATTTAAGAATCAAATCAAATGGTGAATATGTGATATAGAATTGAATCAAACTATTTAATTCCAATTCCATTTTCAAGATTCTAGGTTAAAAAATATATCACTATAAAGTATCTAATTTAATAAGAAATATTCTACCTACTGAAATATTTTAAAATTTCATAAGTATATTTCAAATTTTTAGAATATTCTCCGCACTAATTTTTACAAAATATAGAATAACAAAATAATTTTTTTTTTTTGATGTTATGTAGTAATTACTATAAAAATTCATTTTCCAGTAAAATTAGAAGTGTAAAAGGTATATACCGGACCAAAGCCAGACCCTTATACTTTATCCTTTGGTGCCACCAAAATATTGTGATTAGTGAGTTTATAGGAGATGACAGTTTCTGCTGGTGATTGAAAAGACAATATTGTGACATTTTATTATGAATTTTGTTAACAAACGTCTCAAGACACAAAGAAATGACACACACACACACAAATTTTTTTTTTTTTGAGATATCAGTAAAAAACATCTCTAATAATGTATCATTTATTTCATAAAATTTGAGTAAAAATTTTATATGATATTTAGCCATCTGACGGAATATTTTTTACTATCATCAATACACTGGTCGACCGGAAAGACGACCGAGAGAAAGTCTGGCCGATCGACCGGCAAGAGTAATCTTTCCCCACTTTAAGTATGCTTGACAATGGTTTTTCTAGCACTAAGCTGATGATCGAGGGGTACAACCGACCAGACATCTGACCGGTCGTCTGGTGCTGCCAAACCAATGGCACCAAACAGTGAAATGGTGAAGATTCCCAAAAATCCTCTATTTTGTTAAACAGTTTTGATATTCTCGTTTTGATATTAGTTTGGTGAAATCGTTGGAGTTGAAAGAGGACTTTTTTTTTTTTTTATCAAATTCAAATTTGATGAATCATTTGATACAACATTAGAGATGACCTAATAAATGAAAAACACTTTTTATAAATTTTAAAGAACATTTGAATCTTCTTACACTAGACTAAAATACTTTTCATCACATTTCTAATGACACTCTTAATTTGCCTATTATTATTGATTTGTGAATAATTTTTCAAACCAACATAAATTATTGAGAAAAATGTGATATTACACTTATTATTTTTTAATATCACAGTTAATATATTATTTTATGTGATATAATCATTTGAAATGATTTAAATAAGTATATTTTTTGACTTTTTACGAAAAGATATGTAAGAAAGTACAGAATCGATGTGATCCAAATAATTGCACTTATTTAGTTTATGCCAAATAATCTTACACAAGTTGCATCCAGCTTGTTTGGTTTCAATTTTTTGAATTCAATTTCTGAAAATTGAGTTTTACTGAACTTGTTTTTTATTTATTTTTAGTAACTATTTTTAAAATTTTAAGTAATTTTTTTAATTTTTAGATACACCTAGCATAAATACACTTAAAAAGTATAATATTTGTGAAAAGAATCTTTAATAAATTCACTAAATACCAAAATAACAACAACAAAAAAAATGAAAATTTAGTATATTTTTGTATTTTTGTGTATTTATAATTTTTTAAAAATATTTTTTTACAAATAATTTACTTTTTAGATACATCGAAGTAAGGTACTTATAAAAAAGTAAAAAAAAAAATTACTTAAAATTTAAAAAATATTCACTAAAAATTAAAAAAAAAAATCATAAAAAATAAAAAAACTCAATTTTTAAAAAATTGAAACCAAACACTGATTAATATTTAGTTATTGTGATTGTATCACATAAGATGATATAATATCTTGGAAAAATTACAGAAAGTACCATATAGGAATTAGTTACTCCAATTAGTCTCATAAATTTTATAATATACTGATAAGTCTTGTTTGTTTTGATAACCTTACTATCAGATCCTATTTCGAATTTTAGTATGATTTGGTGAACGTTTCTAGCCTTCCTCATTGGGAGACACTATTTGGAAAAAGTACAGTAAATAATTTTTTTGGAGTGTTACAATTGAGTATTACATTGGAGTGACGGAAACATGATTTAACAATGTAACATACAAAAACTCCTTAGTGTACTTTTTCCATACGTAACACTCAAAAAATGTGACACTCCAATATAACACAAAAAAATTTTTTAATGTATTTTTCACAAACGTAATACTCCGACAAACAGTAACAATTAAGGAGATTATAATGACAAATGAGTCATTATATATCTAAAATGGCTAAATGGATTACAAAAAAAATTATGGGAGTAACTGAAACATTATTCCAACATATAGGATTTATCGATAACTTTCCATACTCCAACATATAGGATTTATCGATAACTTTTCATACTATCTTTTGTAATAAATTAAAAAAGGCTTATAGCAAAAACTCCACAAAATAATAATAATAATTAAAAAATAATAGATTAATGATTCATCCATCGAATTTGTTTAACTCAAATTCGTCTAAATGAGTTTCTTTTCGGGACGAGACTCGTGCATGGGAGACTCTACCCGAAAAGAAATTTATTTGGGTAATTTCAGGCTAAACAAATTATGTTGATGTAGTAGTGTTGAAAATAATAATAAAACAAAAATAAAAACTAGTTAAAAACAAATTTTTAGATAACTCTTTTAGGACAACTACGTTAACTTGGAACTTTTCTATTATAGGGGCAAGGGTGTAAATTTGGTCCAACCCTGCCAATCCCACCCTGGCCAGGGCTCGGGGGACCCATGTTAGGTTGTGTGAGCTTCTTCCAAAATTCGGATTGGGCCGCCCATAGGCCAGAAAATTAGGCATAAGCCCAAGCCCAAGCCCAAGAAGTATTCGAGCCTTGAGCAGGCTGGCGAGCCTGAGTCTAGGCTCGGGCTTGGACCGGATCTAGGCGAGCCTGAACATTTTTTTAAATTTTTTCTATTAAATTTTTTTTTTCCACTAAAAATGACACTGGAACTCAGGTGGGCTGAGCTGAGCTTCAAAATGATAGCCTAAGCCTAGGATCCCCAGCTAGGTTCGGGCCCAGACCTAATCAGGTCGGGCTCACCCCAGGACGCGGACCATTTTTACACTATTATATAGGGGCTACCACATTATACACCTAAAAGGATTGTTCATATCATATGTATTTTTATTTTTTATTATTAAATTTACAAAAATAAATTATAAATTTTGATCATAGTCATATAAATTGTAATCAATAATAATTTGAGACATAACCCAGACCATTTTAATTGTAATCAAAACCATCAATCAGTCATCATAAAATCGACTTTTTGCTAAATAATCAATGTTTTTGGCTTTCAAGAAAGAAAAGTTTTCAATAATCTTTTTTATACCAGTATTACTATAAGAAAAACAGTTATTCTGAATTTTACTTAGAAATGTTTAGATTACTAAATATGAGATAAATGATATCTCAAAAAATGAAGTGATTATGAGAGAAATGAAACTAACTAAATATCATTTTGTTATAATATCAAAATTACCATTTTAGATATAGAACAAATAAAAGGACTTACATTTATAAAAAAGTAATTTGGTAATATAATGTTATATAATTTCTTTTCATTTCATTTCTTTTATATAGCTTAACCAAATAAGATAAGAGAAAAATTAATATCATTTCTTTCTTTTCTCTTTTATGTATGCAAAATAGAAGGAAAATAAATCATAATATATTTTGATTTTTTCTCATAACTTACATAATCATTCCATTTCATTTCTTTACTTTGCTACATTACAAAATATAGTGTTAGATTTATTTCACAATTAAACTCACATTGCATTAATTCAATTTCTACCACACGTATCCGTTACTCAAAAAATTTTCGGCTCATCAAAAAATTTTCGGTTCAAAAATCTGGGATAGTGTAATTTTTGTTTTTATACACATACTTCTCCTTAAAAAAAGAAAAAAAAAAAAGAAAAAAAAGAAAAAAGAGAGAGAGTGAAATGACGAACCTGGCCTTGAAAAGTCTGAGAGAGAGACCCAGCTCCGGCAGAAGCAAAGTTAACACCATCATCATATTTCTTCTTCACGCCTGGCTCTAGAAATGGACTTATCAACGGCAGTTTCGCATATTCAGCTACCCCACCCCCCAACAACACAAGAGTCACAAAGTCAACGCCTATATATATTAGAAAGCAGAATTTAAAAACATTTTAAAATATTAATTTTAAAAAAAATAATAATAATAACATTTTTATAATTAAATGTTATTTTAATGAATAATCTATTTTAAAATGATAAATCACATTGCAGTCATATTATTCTGCACATAAATTTTATTTTTTATATCATTACTCAATCACCCCTCCCTCAGATTTCACATTATTAATTTATTATTTGTTATTTTTTTTTTTTACATCATAAATTATAAATAAAATTTGCACCAAACTATTGTACCCTTCATTTTCAAAGAGGAGGTTGGAGTTATCGAAAAGTATGAAACATTCATTAATACTAATCTAACTTACTATCCCGTTGATATAAAATAAATAAATAAATAAAATAAAAATCAAACCATCTAGTATAACTTTTCAAACTATTGTACCCTTCATTTTCAAAGAGGAGGTTGGAGTTATCGAAAAGTATGAAACATTCATTAATACTAATCTAACTTACTATCCCGTTGATATAAAATAAATAAATAAATAAAATAAAAATTGCAACCAACAGGAGCATGAAAGCAATTGAAGTTGAGCAAGGGTTACCAATGAAGTCGGACACCAAACGGCCATCGGAGAACCGGCCGGTCGGAAACTTGAAAAAGGTCTCTCCATATGGCCGGAAATTAGCTTGGTCAAGAGTGGTGGTGTTGATGTAGTTGTTGTTGCCGGAATCTAAGAAAGAGTCCCCGAAAACGTACAACGCAACGTGTTTTCCGACCCGCTGGCATTCGCCAAGGCTGCAAGATGGGATGAAAAGTATGCAGAAAGTGAAGAAGAGGAAGGAGAAGGAGGAGGAGGAGCTTAGCCTTGCCATGGCTAAGTTTCTCACCATAGTTTTATGCATTTTCAATAGTGTAATATATGAGCTAATGAAGTCTCTTGTGAAAGGACCAAATCATCCTCACACGTGGGACAATTTTTAAATTTGGTGTATTTTAGATTTTTTTGAAGGTTTGGAGATAGTGATAAAATTTTACTTTCATCTGAGATTGGGAAATTGTTTAATTATTATTTTTATTAGCATAAAGCATGAATTACAAGATATTTTTTATTTTGTTTTGTTTTGTTTTGTTTGTTTGTGTTTTATTTTTATTTTTTATGGGAATAAATTACAAGAATTGGGTACACCAAACTTCCAAGTTGGATGCTATTAATAAAAAATGTTGGGTTTATTTTTAACTAAATATATATTTTATTTGAGAAAGAAGTACACAATTGCAAAAAAGACTAATAGAAACTGCAATTTTTTTTTAAATGTAAAATCCCTAACTTGATGTTTGTTGCTAATATTGTGAAGAATTCTCGTACAACCATTTGATGCTTCAAGTAATTGTATACACTATTTGACTTTGGCATTGGAAGATCTACTTCCTTGCAACATATCTCTCCCCCTCTCTCTCTCTCTCTCTCTCTCTCTCTCTCTCTCTCTCTCTCTCTCTCTCTCTCCATAACTATTGACTAGATCTCTACCACCATCATCTTATTCTCTCTCTCATCACGGTGCACTCCCTCCCTCTAGAAGTCCTCAAAAAATTTTAAAAATTGAACTTTGAAATTTTGAAAAAAGTATGAACATAAAAGTAGGTTTTTAAATTGATCCCAAACGAGATTTAAATTGATTTACAGATTTTTTAAAAGAAAAAAATCAATAATGACATAAATAAGATTAAAGACGCATAATTTTTTACTGTATTTTTTGCCACTTACCCATAATGAAGTGGGGCTTTACACCATCAAATTGACTCTTTTATAAGCTCACATATCTCTTATTTTACATTATGCTTCCTTTGGTAGTTATGTATAAAGAATTGAGAGAATAGAATTGGAACTTTGTATTTTTCAGGGGAAAAAAAAAAAGAAGAAGAAGAAGAAGCGAATCCTTGCATAGGGGGATGCTAACCTTGTTCATATATAAACTTTTTAATACTACATGTTTGGCTAATCTCATGCTAGTTTCTTTAAAGTTTGAACGTGTGAATGCCACAGAATTCATGGCATTAATCTGTTTTTATCTTATTGCCCGTCAATTTAATATAGATGCCACGTTACTGCATTCTTCGTCCCCATCTTTATCGATTAAAAAAAATATTATATAAATTAATAAGTTCTATATTTTTTTTCCTCACAAATGTATATATAGTGATAAAATTTTAGAATTTGAAACATAGACGCCGCGTTACTACATTTTTTGTCCCCATCTTTATCAATTAAAAAAATATTTTATAAATTAATATGTTCTATATTTTTTTCCCTCACAAATGTATATATAGTGATAAAATTTTAGAATTTCAAACATGGCGTGCTAAATTAATAACATGATAAATGCTACATTAATTAATATAGAAAAATGAAAACCAAGAATATTCATCGTGATAAAGTTAGATTCATTACAAGTTAAGCATTATGAATCCAAAATACAAAAAATAATTTTTTGTATGCGAAGTAAAATTGCATACATCAAATCTTTCCTAAAATCTCATAATACGGACGAATTGCAAATGGTATTTGTACGGGGAAGAAATAATTCTCCTCGTATAATCCTGTTGACCGAGTCCACGCTCCTCCGTACGACGTCGCTTTATCACCTGAAAACACAAACGTGAGCTAGCCGGCGGGTGTGTACCGGAAACCTCTCCGATGCCTAAGTCAGTAAGCTTGACAAATAGACAAAGCTCTATCTTCTCAGAAAGCAAAATTGTGTTGTGTTCTGTTACCTCCTCCAAGGTGATGCTTGTGAGCTTTTATAAGTTTCCCGTGGCACAATCCTAGTAGGACTTGTACTTACCTCTCCATAGGTGATGTTATGAGCTTTTATAGGTTCCGTGTGGCATAATTCTAGTAGGACTCTTACTTTTCCATGTAGAGTCCTCCTAGGATTCATACTCCTAAGGATAATGCTTATCCTTTTACACCCTCCCCCACTGCTTAAACCAAGTGGGATGGTTTTTACTTTGACCGAACTACTATATGACCGAAATAAGTTTGGCTATGCAGAGCCACGGAGTAAACCGAACTATTCTTAGTTCGGTTCCACTTTTAACTCTATCCTTATCTCGGTTTTCCCATGTTCAACCAATGGTACGGTCTTAGACCGAACTAATGACTCTCGGGCGGTATAACTCCAAGACCGGCATAACTCTAAATCGTTCCCAGACCGAAGTATCTTTATAATTCCTGAGCCGAAGTAATTTTACCTCCCTGGGCCGGAGTAACTTTGTTTCTCCTAGGCCGGAGTAACCTTGCCTCTCCTGGGCCGGAATAACCTTTTGCATTTTTATTGGGCCAGAGTAATCATTACGGCCTTTTTACTTAGTCCTTCGCACTTTGGGCCACAAAGCCCAACTCGCAGTTCGGCCCAATTTTTTTCAAAAATTACCCTCTCAATTGCCCCTTAATTCCATCTGCGCAACATGATTGGGATTACCAGTCTACTGGCCGAGCTAGAGTTTATTAAGCCTTTCCAGCCGAGCTAAAAACCCTTTAACCTCTCCAGCCGAGCCAAAAACCCTTGGGCCCTTAAGCTGGGCTAATTTTACTTCGGGCTTTACTTTGTCCGGTTAAAACGTCTCTTCAATCACGACTGTAACGCTTCCCTTTCCGTATACACGTGGCACGCTCCCATTCGTAGAAGGCAGCTGTCAACGCCGTCTTCGTGTTTCGCAATTTTTGAACAGTTCCCGCTTCTTTCCCCTCTCTCCTTTTTCACAAAACCACCATTTCACTTTTCCAATCATTTACTTTACTCCCTTCTTTTTCTTTCTCTTGTTCCTGAGCCCTGAGTTTGAGCTAGCTGTGTTCGTGCCCTCCATTGCTGCAACAGTTTTCTTCTTCAGTCCCTTCTTCTTTAATCTGGTAACCGAATCTACTTTCCTTCCCTATTTTTGCTTTCGTATCTGCTTCTATACATTTGGTTTACTGTATTTTTGCAAAACATGTTCTTCCCTTTCTGCTTTGCCTCTGTATTTTCATGAAAAAACACTGGCAGAACTCATGCGCGTATGAATTTCTGTAAAAAACTAGTCTTAGATCCAAAATAATGTAGCGACTGATCTAGGGTACTGTTTGTCTATATAGGCAGATCACTTCAGTCAATAGCCGAACTAGAACTTGTAGAGATGTCAATAGTTTCAAAAAATAACCTTCTGATTCACTTTAGCCGAAATAAGATCACCGAACGAAGCCTGAATATTTTAAACTAAGAACCTTAGTCTTCAACCGAGCTAAGCCTCCGGGGCTAAGCCAGCTTTCTTATTTTCTAAACCGAACACAGAAAGCTGCCCCTAGTGGCTTAACCGAAGCAAAAAACCCACTGTTCAAACCGAGATAACAAATCCTTAAAGGAAAACCGATCTTGCGCACAATAGGTTCAAACCGAACTATCGAGTATTGTGCAGAACCGAAACAGAACCAGCCCACAAAGCCGAAATAGGGCTCATTTACCTTGCTTTTAATTTGTAGCACAGTCCAATGATCTGTGCTTAACCCCTTTGTTTTCTACTTTGCAGACTTAGGTTACCCAGGCACTCCTGCGTGCGCTCAACCGAGCTACTGAGAACAAT